TTGTGGGCGTTCTTTAGCGATTTATTATTTATTGTTTGTCCATATTCAGCCTAAATATAGTCTAACATATACAAGGTTTATTCCGGCTCTCTTCCTCTCCTCTTGGGGCAATCACAGTGTCCGCCATGGTGGCATCAAGGATGTCTCAGCTTTCTAGTCATTCCCAATTCATACAATTCAAACACAGAAACACAGAAACAAACACAGAGATATTCAAATACACTAAAAATACATTTATACCCCATGCAAAAAACTGCATGGTTTTTGCCCCAAACTGCACAAGATTAGCATAAAAGTGTCTGCAAAGTTGAGACTTGTGGTGCCTTAGGCCTTCTGGATATACTGTATACATATACTGATGCCTGGCTGATTATTTTCCATAGGTTCTGGATTCAGATCCGGTGGGTCAGAGTCAGGAGGTCGAGGAGGACCTGGACCTGCTGTACGACAGTCTTGAGGTTTACAATCCGAGCGATAGCGGGCCGGAGCAGGACGACAACGACAGCATCCTCAGCACGCCCAAACCCAAACTCAGGTCAGACTCAGACAGCAGAAACAGCTCACCTCAGCTGTCCAACATACATATTAATGTAAGTGATAATGCCCAACAAGGAATTCTGGAACAGAGTTGAATGTTAGCCAGAAAGCTAATGTTATAAGACGAGCCAGAGAGCTAACATTACGCTAGCAAGATTCATAGTCGATAACACTGTGTGCGGTCGACAAACAGTACATATAATTTGATGTGTAACTTCCTCTCAGCTGCAGCCTGAAGCAGCAACTTGAATAGCCAATGGGATGTGTTTTTTAAATAAAGCTGGATGGGTACACAGCTAATGTGTTAGCTTCCTCCATTTTGGACTCTCCCTCTCACCCACCACCGCTGTTACACAGGAGCCTGTATGTGCCTTGATATCTGACCAACAGGCCTTTCTTTGAGGGGATTTCTCAGTCGAGCTCTCAGACTGAGCTCGGGAGTCTCAACAGTCAGAGGAGCCAACCGACAGAAAACACAGCAGCCGTGAGTACAACATCCAGATTCACAACTGGACAAATAACTAGGGCTGGGTACCGAACTTTGATACTTTTATGGCACCAACCTAATTACTTTGATACTACAGAGTATCAAAAAATGCCTCATCATTCGGTAGTAAATTTCACTATGTTATCTCATCAGTGTCAGTGAGCCAATAAGCACGCAGCACATTGTAGAGGCTTGGTAATGTTTTGACCCCAGGTTATTGTCTTACTCCTGTGCTCCAGTATGCTTTGGACTATATTTCTCAAGTCTCTCGTGATACAAGATTGCCCGACTCTGAGAGCAGCAGACAACCTGTTTCCTTATTAGTCAGTTAAAGCCTGTTTAATTAACCAACAGTTCCCACCATGAGCAAGCACTTGGTGACAGCAGCAAGGAAAAACTTCCTTTTAAGAGGCAGAAACCTCGGACAGACCCCGACTGTAGGTGGGTGTCCGTCTGCCTCGACTAAATGTTCTAGAGCCGGTTTTGTTTTGTAAGTTTTCCTGCAGGGACGAAGGGTTTTTTGGCAGTCCATAGTCAGCAGCTGTGGTGCACCCTGCAGGTCAGACTGTGTAACTGCTCTCTGTTGTTGTTATCAGGCGGCGGAGCGGCTGCCTCCTGGAGCTCAGGGGCCTCGGTCCCCGGAGGAGTCAAGAGGAGAGGACGCGGTGCCCGGGGTGAGTCTAGAACCAGACACACACTCACACAGATACAAACAACACACACACACACACACACACACACACACACACACACACACACACACACAAACTCAGGTTATTTTTCTCTCCACAGGAAGCTGAGGATGATGTTGCCATGGTAACAGATGCAGGACCGGCTGCTAAACTTTGTAAAACTGAGTCCCAAACACTCATATCACCAAGGTACACACACACACACACACAGCTTTTATTGATTTCTTTAATGAAGTTGCGATTTCAAACTGAAACTTTATTTAAACAGTGCAGTGTGTGTTTGGAACGGATTGAATGCTAATAAGTTTATTATCGCTGTACAAAAGCACAGGAGCCAAAACAGAAAATAAACCCACCTCAGTCCTTTATTCCCTGCAGTCAAACTGTCCTCCATCAGCATCAGATGCTGCATTCAGTTCCGGTGTGGACCTGCTGTTCACTGGGAGCTCCCAGTCCAACAGAGTCCGCTAATGGATCCACTACAGCTGTTGGACTGGGGGGACGTAGCACACAGCGCTATTAGCTAACTGCCTGTTCTTACAGGAAATACAAACAGCTCTCTGCTTCCTGTTTCACCTGGACTTTAAGAACAAAGATTAGCTGACGCCTCGTTAGGCACCATTAAGCTGTCACAGCAGCAATAGCCAATCAGCTCACGGCTCAGTCAGGCTCCAGTTTGTGTCCAAATGTGCACATGCCTGTTCACAAATCTGACAGCTGTCTGTCTGCTCTCTCTGCAGTAAGACAGGAAGTCAGCTGTCTCGCCATCCTTGGAGCGTCTCCATGAAGGACAGACAGAGCTCCAGAGGGACGGACAGAACCAGCAGCTTGGACAGCGAGACGTCGTCTGATTACAGGATGCCTCCCCCACAGGTGAGACAGACACCAGACTCCTTCTATAAAAACTGTGATTTTAGCTCTCAGAACAGAGTTTGTTCTCTACTGCTGCCTCCGTCAGCCAGTCTGTCTGTTATTGTGTCACTTTGGTGTTTTGACATGTTAATTTGGATGTGAATTGATGTCAGTCGCTGTGGATCGGGACAGCAGAAACGTTTGTGTTCTGTGAGGTAAAATTACTGTTTTTATCAGTGGAGTCTGGTGGCTTTGAAGAGAGCATAGACGGATATATCAGCTTCAGTGTAAAATAGTTTTGCTGCTGCTCCATCCACAGAGGTAGTCACAAGCTGTTCTTTCCAGCATTTTGGGACAATTTCTTGCATTTTTCACCGTACAAACACAAGCTTTTTGATTAAAACTCCTCCTGGTTTCTCGGTTTGATCGATTTGAGCAACCCACGAACAAAACAGGTGTTTAGAGAGTTTGTGACAGTGTAGAAAACCACTTCTTGCTCCCCATCTGCAGTCCGTCCGACAGAAGCAGTTAACATGGAGGTTTGTTTAAACTCTGACTGACCTCTCGTATGTTGTCTTCAGAAGAGGGTTAGGGCCACATGAAAAAGGTATTTCGATTTAAAGTTTAATTAAATAGTTAAATAGGAGAACCTGGGTACCGTGGACCGTCCTAACTTCCTCAAAGGGCTGTTTGAGGGTTTAGAATCGGTTTTAAAGTCAGAATTAGGTTTAGGTCCTGGTTTGGGTTTTTGTGTTCTGACGTGTGCTTGTGTGTTTCTTTAGGTTGCCAGGAAGTCGGTCCTGGATCAGCTGAACCACATCCTGTTCTCTGATGATCAGATTCCTGATTCTATAATCCTGATCAACACCACAGACTGGCAGGGACAGGTCTGTCTGTCTGTCTGTCTGTCTGTCTGTCTCTCTGGTCCGCTTTGTTGACTTAAAGACACAGAGTGTCTGCGTGAGCTTTTACAGTCACACAAAGTTTCTGTGTGCTACCTGTTTGTAGTTAAGCCAAAGGCTGTTTTCTAGCTAAATGGTGGAAATGGAGGTGGGCCGCCCTCCTCTGATTAGAGTTAACTCTGTTTTTATAGAAATGTCCCAAACTGTCCACTCTGTGTCAGTACTGGACTCACAAGGTTCAGGATGATTTTCAACTATTGAGTTGAGACTTTTTAAACCCATTAAACTTTGGTAACAATGTGAATATTTACTGCAGCACTGAAGTGTTTATTAAAGTCATATAATTCAGTTTACAGCTCAAATAACACGTTTTAATGCAGAGTTCCTCTTTAAATCTGACTGACACAATGAGTGTATTTTCTCTAGGATTGTCCAGCAGTCTGTTTCATGGACAGACATAATAAACTATGATGGAAGGTAATCGAGTGTCTCTCGCCCTCCTCTCTCTCTACAGTATCTGTCGGAGCTCCTGTTTGATCAGCCAATCGTCTGCACCGTCTCAGCAGCTGATGTCCAGGCTGCCTTCAGCGCCATTATCAGCCGGATCCAGAGATTGTAAGAAGATTGTTGTTTCATTATGATAAGCAGCCATTTGGAGCAGCTATGGAACTATACAAGGATAGTCCATTTACCATCCATTTACAAAAGAGCAGCGAAGTCTTAAACCTGCAGTGTCTCTAACAGCCAGCAGGGGGCAGCTCCACTCTGATAGCACTGAGTCTTATGGAGAAGTTGATTAATGAGCTCAGTAAACAGTTTCCTGATGAGTTTCTGGTCTCAGTCTCTAGTTTCAGTCTTCTTCCATACAGCATGATGTTCATTTAGTAACTGATGGTCCCATTTAGAGTAAAACAGACCATAAAGCAGGGTATGCTCTAGGGCGGGGCTACCTTGTGATTGACAGCTCATTCTCAGTGAGTCCGTCCAGCTCAACGCACCAAACTCAGATCAAACTGTCAATACATCAATATGTACTGCCTAATACATTACCAACAACCATTCTTTAATCACAAATAGTGCATTCGTGTAATAGTGCTGCTACTACATCCTGGTTTTATTGGTATTTAAAAGTTTGAATATGTTTGATCTAAATGTGTTTTCCAGCTGTAACTGTAACTCCCAGACGCCGCCTGCCGTGAAGGTGGCGGTGGGCGGAGATCAGAGCTACCTCAGCACCATCCTCTGCTGCTTTGTAGAGCAGCTGGCCAGTAAGACGCCTGATTGGCTGAGCTACGTGCGCTTTCTTATCCTCCCTGTCGGTACGCACACACTCAAGCACATTGTCTCCTGAAGCGGCTCACCGTGAACCTTCCTATGATGCTCCTTTGTGTTTATCACCTCCCCAGGAGCCCACCCGCTGGCCAAGTATCTGGCCGCCCTGGACAACAAATTCAACAGTCTGTTCATGGACGTCGGCTGGAGGGAGCTGTTTGGACGTCTGGAGCCACCTCCTCTCGGTATGTTCCCCAAGGGAGGAATGAGACTGACCTCTGACCTCTGGTGCCTCTGTCAGATCAGAGTCTGTCTAAAACTTCACCCTGTTCTCATGTCTCATACTGTGATACAGTATCCCTCTAGCGTCTGTTATTTCTGACACAACCTTGTTTTCCCTTTTTACTGGATTAAAACACTGACAAACAGCTGCCATCTTTCCCCCTCGCTGGTTTATAATCGGGCTGCCAGAGCTGCTCCCTCTAGAGACAGGTGTTCAAATGTCTTCAATGAGAAACACTTTCTGATCTGAAGTCTGTTTCTGTTCAACAGATCCTGTTGGTGTCGCAAGTCGAGTGTCTCAGTATCTGAGCGGAGCTGCTGTCTCTCACCTGTGTCCGATCTCAGAGGCTATGCTGACCTGCAAACACAAGAGGTGCTTTTCTTAAAGCTACAGTACCCACTGTATCCCAACAATGTTCAATCAAATGTCAATGTATTCAGGTAGCGCTGCGTTTCACCGGTCACCTGTCGATGGCGTCATATCCCCTTTGTGCCTGCGTCAGCGTTGTGGTTGTCTGCCAGAAGTTGTCATACACTGACTGTTTATCCAGTCTGAAGCCACATTGTTACCATCCACTGTTTAGATCTTGGTGCTTTTTAACTCTAGATTTGAACCGGATGAAGGATTTTAGTCATCGGACGTCTGGATCTTAAGTTATCAGAGAAACAAGCTGAGCTAACGTTAGCAGCAGCTCGGCTCGCAGCCCCTCCGGGACGTCCTTTGTCTGTTCAACAGCAGAGAATAATAATAATGACAGGACAGAAACTGGAAGACAGGAGACGTATAAAGACAGAGGAGATAAAAACATTTCAGCATTATTTCTGACTTCATGGACTTTAAGACATTTTCTGTATTCTGTTCTCATCAATGTGGATCTGAGCTCTGTTCTCTCGTTCTCTCTTTTCTTGCGTTTGCATTCAAGGAAGCGAAGTTTGCATTTTGATTTGTACCTCAGGTATCTCCTACCTCTGTTTGACTTTTGACCTTTGTCCTGCATGCTCAGCCCTTCTTCCTGTCCTGCCTGGTGTTTGTCTGAAACTACTAACCTGAAGGTTTCTCTAACCAACGTGTGGATTTGTTTCTGTCTGCTGCCGCTGCCTGTTTACCGACCCGTTTGTGTCTTATGTGGTCCCTGGACACTGTGCAGTCTGTGTACCTCTTACTGTAATGTAGGGACCAGAACCAGGCGGAGTCTGGGACTCCACAGGGGGCTCAACTCGTGTACAATCTGTACTGACTCTATATTTGTAGAGAGAATTTGGGGTTTTTTTCATTCACTTCAATGCAACCACTTCAGTGCGTGATAAACGTCACAGCAGCGTCTAGAGGAATCAGAACATTTGTTACTGTAAAAATCTTTATTCTGCTGCTCATTGAATGAATCTGAACTTCCTCTGCAGCATCGACGACGACTCCTTTCAGAAGTTTGTTCCTTTTATTGGGGTAAGAAATACTGTCAGCTGCTTTTACTACAGTTACTCCATCACTGAGCTGTCCCACTGTTATTACAGACTGTGAACTAACCACAGACAATGGTCTCTTTCAGTTGGTGAAGGTCGGCGTTGTGGAGCAGAACTTCCTGTCCACCTCAGGTACACCAGACTCACCTGCCCAGGCCCCTCCTCCTTTACCTCATGGTGCCCTGTCATTGGCTCTCTCAAACATTTCCATTTTATTCTCACCTGCTTCTCTCCACAGTTGACTCTGATGACATCATCCTGGGGTCTCCTCCCTCCCAATCAGGAGCGCCGATCAGCATCACCTCAACGCCTCCTCCCTCCCCCTCCATCAGGTACTTCCTGTTCAAACCTGTTTCAAAATGGCGGCTGTTACTCTGAAACTTACTGCTCCTCCTCTCTGTGCAGCTGTCCGGGGGAAGTGATGGGTCTGCAGGTGGACTACTGGAGCTCTCAGGGAGGAGGAGGAGGAGAGAGGAGGAAGGAGGTGGGGATGAAGAACACTCTGAAGAGTAACTTCCGCAGTCTGCAGGTGTCAAGGATCAGTGGAGGAGAACTGATGAGCATGACGGTGGTCACCAAAGAGAAGAACAAGAAAGGTGAGGAAGAGGAGAGATGATGATGATGAAGGTGATGATGATGATGATGGTGATGGTGATGAAGGTGTGTCTGTCAGTCATGTTCCTCAGTAAGAAGACAAAGGAGAAGGAGGCAGAGTCGAGGAGTCAGTTGATCGAAGGAATCAGCAGATTGATCTGTACCTCCAAACACCAACACACACTGAGAGGTACACACACACACACGCACACACACTTACACACGCGCACACACACACACACACACACTCACTCACTCTCACACACACACGCACACGCACGCACACACACACACACACACACACACACACACACACACACACACACACACACTCACTCACACACTCTCACTCACACACTCTCACACACACACACACACACACACACACACACACACACACACACACACACACACTCATCCCATTCCATCATATCTTTTCCCATCCCATCCTATCCCTATCCCATCCTATCCTATCCCATCCTATCTTATCCCATCCCATCCTATCCCAACCTATCCCATCCTATCTTATCCCATCCTATCCCATCATATCCCATCATATCCCATCCTATCTTATTCTCTCTTTCAGTCTCTATAGACGGCGTGGAGTGGAATGATGTGAAGTTTTTCCAGCTCGCTGCTCAGTGGCCGACTCACGTCAAACACTTTCCTGTTGGGATCTTTGGCTACAACAAACCCTGAAACTCTTCCTCCTCCTCCTCCTCCTCCTCCTCCTCCTCCTCTTCCTCCTCCCCTCAGAGTTTGCCTTTTTCCAGTCACATCTGGTTGGAATAGAAATATTTGTACCTTGTAAGTCTTTTTAATTAATTTATATGAATTCCGCTTTGGATATTATTTATATTTGTGACTGTAAATACTGTAAACAGTGTGTGTGTCTGATGTAATCATAATAATTATATGTGGATTCATTAATTTAATTTGATTGTTAATGATTTACTGTACATTAAAGCTCCAGTGTGTCACATTACTGTAATATAATATTCACAGGTTTATTTTTAATCAGCTGAAAATAAGAGTCATTGTGTTTGTCCATGTTGGACCACCATGTTTCTACAGTAGTCAGACTGTAGACAGGGGCCAGAGTTATTATAGCTTTGTATTTTTAGTTTTCATTTATTTATTTTCAGTTTGCTTTCAGTTAGTTTCCGGAGTGCATTTGTTTGTTTACTCTGTTTCAGTGTTGTTTTTTTCTTATAATATTTGGGTATTGTATGTCAGAATAGGTACAGTACAAATGTCAAATGTCAATAAACATTTGGGCCAATGCCTCCTCGTTGTTCTTTTGATACATTTCCTGCATGTTTTTATTGTAGTTTTTATGTAGATAATATCATTTCAGTTACTTTCTGTTTCTAAACTTTAATTTAGATTTTTATTTCAGTGAACTAAAATGTTTTTTCATATAGACGATGCTCGTGATTCGTCTCTCCACTGAACACGCTGCTGGTTTATTCCTGACAGGAAGCCCATTTCTGCCAATGTGATTCTGTAAGTCATTATAACGACTTAATATCTCTTGATTAAGTCAATATTTTGAGAAACCTTCTCATTATAATGTCTTACAGAAACCTTTTTGACTACAGTTACAGTCAGTGTGTAAAGCTGACTGACACAACGTGAGGTCACATTATTGAAAAATAGTGTGCAAAGGGCTTTTTTCAGCTGTCTGTGGATCATAGAGGAGAAGGATTGACAAAAACTCCAGAGGAAAAAGAACATATCACTCACTGTACTTTAATATTTGAAGGAAAGACACTGCACTCTGTCAGATCTTTTTACATGTTTACATCATCAATAGGAATCATATCACAGTATCCTTTACACATACACACTGATCTATCCACTGCTGCAGCAGCTCTGAGTGCAGAGTCTATGCTTTAAAGAGTTTGTGGTGTCAGAACAGCAGAGACCAGAACACCAAACTCAGGATCCTTCTACACACAAAAAATTAACTACTTTTCAAACTCAGTGCAGATATTCGTTTAGGTGCAACACAACTGCTCCAGTCGCCTGAAACATCAAAAGCCCTGCAGGTTCTCACAACAAGTCTACATGAACAAGACAAACTGTTTGTGTTATACATCGCTTAAAGGTACACAGTAAGATACAGGTCCATGTCTTTAATTGTTTGGGAGGTATGTGAGGACAAAGAAGTCTCAGATGTTGCCGGCACTCTGCAAGCAGAGAGCGGTCCAATATGGACGCCAGAGTAAAGACGTTACAGGAGTCTGAAGGGTTCCACGATAACCTTTAGAAATGCATCAGTAGAACGCAAAGAGTCCGTCAGCAACCTTTGGGAGCTTTAGGGGGCACTACTACTACTAAGTAAATCCTGTGGGCTGTGTGATGATGATGATGATGATGATGATGATGATGATGATGAATGACTTAAGTAATAAAGTCAAAACAGAGACATTGATTGCCAGCACCATCACTTGGGATTGATTTGTGTGGAGGATTCAGCATCCTCAATAACCCCCCAAACCACTCCTATATTGTCCAAATCAGATGTGTTTAGTTTTGTTTTGAAGGAAACCAATCAGTGTCAACCACAGTATCCTGGTGTGCACTGGAATATATTTTTGTTGTCTGGTTTACTGTGGTTTGATAGACCTTTAAAGAAAATAACAGAACTTGACAGGTAGAGTATTTCAAAAACACTATTAGTAGTTCATCCAGGCCTTCATAAAGTTCAGAAACCTGTTAGAAGGCTCAGGGGTCGACCACACAAGAGACACATCGTAGAATGCTTTGTTTTCAATGCAGTGTTTTCCTGTCATACGATGCTCCTCTCTTGCACTGTGAGTTTCTAGCAGTTTTTAGACGAGCATAAAAGACGGCCAACTTATATCCTGGTTTTGATGCTGTTTACTAAGCCAGTAAATAGGTGGGCTGGGGTGCAGTGGGGGGTAGTTGACTTAATCTTAGTTGCTTAGAAGAGTCTCAGCAGGCACTTTCCATCAGACCAGTTAATAAATCAGTAACTGGTAACGTTCCATCATCATCCATCGTATCGTTCAGTCCACCAGGATTTGTTTCGGTGAAGTTGGAAGTTATTTATTCCGTGTTTAAAACAACCAGACTGTGTGAAGTTACTCTGTGTTGGAATAAATGAACAAAATATTTAGTCTTGCATTTAACAGATTAAACAGATTATAATCAATACAGTAATATCAGAAACTCTCAATGACTAGTCCACTAGGAAAATCTTTAGTCAGGGGCAGCACTAGTGGGGGTTAAACCCAAATAAACTCAGTTATCAACGTTTTTAAAATGAAGCTAGAGTTTACTTATCTTGAGCTCAACAGCTGTTTCAATCAACTTTTGTTCCTGTTAATCATATTTGATCCATGCCTCGCTCCACAGTTGCACCAGCTGTTTTATCCCTGAAGCTCTTTGCCGAGATGTTTTAAAAGCTCCTGTAGCAATGAATCTCTGTGTGATCGGCCCTTTAGACTTCTATCAAAACCTTTTGACAAATAAATTACAGGAGAATGTCACATTATGCAGGAATCGACCCGCGCTTCGTACTTGTTAGACCTCTAAAGAACCTAAAAAAAACGTTCAGACAAATGACAAAAGAGACGTGCACATGTCAGAATATTCAGGAAGCAGAACCATTAAAAGTTTAGCCAAACTTCTAATGGAATTTATGGATTTGCAAAAATGACGGGAACTTTTAGGAATGCATCAGGACTGTCAATAAGGTGTAGGATCCTCCAGGAACTGTTGGGATCGTTACAAACACGTACAAGTTGTGTAGACCTTTACAGAACATAAAGAAATATTCTGCTGCTCTCTGTATAGTTCTTTTATCTGTGTTTGGTCAAATCCTCAGAAAACCTACTAGAACTATTAGGAGTTCATCCAGAATTTCAAAAACTTGACAGAACTGTTACGTGTCCTCTAGACCTTTTAGGAATCCATCAACTGCCAGCAACCTGTTACAAGCTTTAGACAAATTACAGAAATGAAAAGGAGTCAGAATATGCAGGAATCTATTGGAACTGTTCATCCAGAACCTGTTAGAACCTTTTAGAACCCCTTTATGTGGCAGTAGGCCTCCAGAGAGGAGAAGACGATGTACATCAACCACAGGCTGAAGAACAGGCAGGTCGTGAGGATCTTAGGGATTCTGGGCCCGCCGAGCTCCCCGCCAATCTCCGGGCGGCGGCGGTAGATGAGGACGGCGATGCAGATGAAGGCAAAGATGGTGAAGAGTGTGACGGAGAAGGCCAGCGTGCCTGGGTCAACCCGGAACTCATCGCCCTTGGAGTAGTGGTAGATGGCGGCAATGGACCAGGCCACGCCGATGCCCAGGAAGACGTTAACAGCGTTGCTTCCGGTCACGTTGCCGATGGAGGCATCAGCGTATTGGTCCTGGATGGCTGCCACCTTACTGGCAAAGGTGTCTAAGGGAGAGGAAGTGAGAGATGCAAAAGGTCAATTTAATGGCGCTGGTTAGTCCTCCCCTACCAGTTCTATATATAATTTCCTCTGTGCCACTAGAGGAGATAATGACCCTGATTTTAAACTCTACGGCAGGTTTTGGCGATCAAATGCCCCACACAGAGTCAAATTGGTGCTCACTCTCGCTCTCTATCAGGATAAATAGCTTTTTAGCTCGTGTTTCTAGAGTTACGTGTTGTTACGAACACGTTAGGAATTGTTAAAATGTGATATTTCTTAAAGGGAGTTTGATGCAGGGAGCTTTTAGTTGGATTCAAACTGCTAATATGGATAATTTTTTACATTTTGTCTCCACTACAGTAACACTAGCTAACTGCTAAAGACTGATAAAGTTGTCTGACATTGACTGCTGTTATAATAAAACGTATTTATAAATGGCTAAAATAAGGCGAAACTTGTTGGAGATGACAGGAAGTAAACAGACATACAGTTTGTTAAATGGATATATGTCACACTAAATTAAAAGGGGATTAATACATAAAAATAACATGTAAAATGCGTGGAACCTTTAATGGAATGGAATTCTTGTTGCAAAGTTGCCAAATGACTGTGATATAGTTTACTGTAAAGTGAGGACAGTGGAACCAGTTTGTATCAGACCTGGTACAGATGTGCCCAAAGCCACGAACACCACTGCAGTGACGGAGTCTTTGAGGCCAACGGTGCAGCCAAAATGCGACGCCAGGTCACCGATGACCGCCGTCAGCATCCCGATAACAGAGATAGAGACGACGAAGCAGGCCCAACCGTTCCAGTAGTCGGTGGGAGGAACGAAGGCAAACAGCAGCTTCCAGAAGACAGTGAGGAAGTGCATGACGTAGTCGAAACAGGAGGGCAGCTTCTCCTCGCCACATTCATCATCGTCATCATCACCTGGGCAGGAGAGGGGGGCAGAGTGTGGTTGGGTCAATAATAGGGCTTTGTTGGCTGCCACACTTGGACTGCCCTCTGTCTGGCTCAGGTCTTACCAGAGCTGACTGTGATGGCTTCCATAAACTGCTCTCTCCAGCTGTTTGTCCCGATTACCAGCGCCAGGTTGGTCTTCTTCAGAAGTTTATCTACGGTGCTCTGAAAGACAGGAAGCCATGTTTAAAGGAAACTATTCAAATCCTGCTTATGGTTTTGGTCTGATGATCAATCTGAAAACAGATTCTTAGATTTGATTCTATGTGTTTATGTTGATTGATGATTATGTTTACTTATACTATGTGCTAGACTAATCTATGTTGAAAAGACAACCACTGTTTAAAGATGGTTAAAAGATTAATATGAAATATAGTCACATCTTAAGCTGGCTAAAGCAGAGTTTACTTTGCCTGACGTTGACTAGTTATTAGTTTGATTAATGCTTTAATAATGGGAGTATTGATCACTGACGCTGGCTGATCAGAATCATTATTAACTAATTGTACTCTGTTTCAAACAGCAGAATGCTGTAAATGCTTGCCCTTTGTTTGTGTCTAAAGCTTGAAATGGATCCCACCTTGAATTCATACGACTCCTCTATGATGACCTCCAGCTTGATGTGCTCACCCAACATCGGTCTGCCCATCTCCGCGATCCGCCTCTCCTCCTCCTCCTTCTTGGTCAAAACCTCCTCACCCCCCTCGTCTGAGAGAAAGAAAATCTGATGGTAAGACCCCACCATCACAGACACCTCACAGTCAACAGGTGGGGCAGCAGAAGCTCAGGAACTACAGGTTCCAGACCAGCATGGACTACGTTGGGAAATGTGGACTAGGTGCCAGTTCACCTCCTGCTGTTTGCACTGATTTCTGACAGAGACGATTTCTCCTTCAGTTGTTAATGTTCACTGCTGCAATTGCAAGAGTTGTGAATGGAGTCTGGGATTACCCTGTGAAGGGAACATCCACTGAGGCTTATGCACATTGCAGTATTCTAGATAGTGTCTAATGTTTTCTTTATAATAACTAATAATTACTACGTTCTGTAGCCCTAATGAATCTGTAATCATAGAGGCTTAATTTCTATAGAACTATAACTGAACAAAAGGGGCCCCTAGACAACAATTTCAACAGGGCCCCTAAAAAACTAGAAAGAGCCCTAACAAACATACATATAAAGAAATTAATGGATGGATGATGGACGTACCTGTGATGTTGACGATGGCGGAGGGGGCGGGGTGGTCTCGTCCCTGGACCTTCCTGTAGACGTCTGTGCCTGAACAGGTGTACAGAAACTTATTCTAATAGAACCAGACACCTCAACAACAACAACAACAACAACAACAACAAATAACCAACCCTAAAAACATCTTTTCAACTAAAAAACAAGTTCTGGAAAATTCGAGATAAGAATAAATAATAATCTGATGACTGGTGAAATTTGGAAGTGCATAACTCTTTAAAGTGACACACCACTGACCGTGGCAAAAAAACGTTTAAAAATGTTTTCAGTTTTTGTCCTCTGATGCTCGGCCCCAACTCTGTGAACAGAGTTTCCTGATGGACAGTAAAGTAAAGTTTGGGAGGCTAACTGAGAGCAGCGCCGGCATTTTTCCAGAACCAGAACTAGAACCGGGCGAGCGGGAAGTGTAAGTGGGCTCATCAGCTTCTATGGACATAGCTAATGACAGAGGCTCAGAGAGTTCATAGGACATTGTCGAAGAAAGCTGAAAAGAGAAAAGGCGAGAGGAGTAAACGTGGAACTGGTTTTTAGTTGTTGGCGAGGGAGCAGGTGCTGAGATTAAATTAGGAAAACAATAAAAATGGTGGTAATACTTCGAGACATCCCATCAGCCTCAGTGGTTGAGGGCATCAGCTTGACTTATCAGGTTGCCCCAATAAGTCCATTAAAACGCTCCAATTAATTCAGAACGCTGCAGCACGAGTACTGACAGGAACTAGAAAAAGAGATCACATCTCTCCTGTACTAGCTACTCTGCATTGGCTCCCTATAAAATGTAGAATTGAATTTAAAATACTCCTCCTCACCTATAAAGCTCTTCATGGTCAGGCCCCTTCATATCTTAAAGAGCTCATAGTACCCTATTACCCCACTAGAACACTACGTTCTCTGAATGCTGGGCTACTTGTGGTTCCTATAGTCTCTAAAAGTACAACAGGAGCCAGAGCCTTCAGTTACCAAGCTCCTCTCCTGTGGAACCAGCTTCCAGTTGTGGTTCGGGAGGCAGACACCCTCACCACTTTCAAGAGTAGGCTTAAGACATTCCTCTTTGATAAAGCTTATAGTTAGGGCTGGATCAGGTGAGTCCTGAACCATCCCTTAGTTATGCTGCTATAGGCCTAGACTATCGGGGGATTTCCCATGGTGCACTGAGCTACTCTCTTCCTCTCTCTTTCTGCACTCATTCATGTCCCTTTAATGCATGTTACTAACTCCACTTCTTCCCCGGAGTTCTTGTGCTTTCTCGTCTCGCAGGTTCTCATGGATCCTGGTGGAGCCTCCTGCCATGGTCCTGCTTGACTGCCATTGCCAATACTGTTGTTGCTGTGCACCTGTCTGTCTGTCTGTCTCTCTCTCTCTCTCTCTCTCTCTCTCTCTCTCTCTCTCTCTCACCCCAACTGGTCGAGACAGACGACCACCCACCTAGAGCCGGAGGATCTGTCCTAGGTTTCTGCCTTTTAACAGGCAGTTTTTCCTTGCCCTTGTCGCCAAGTGCTTGCTCATGGTGGTACTGTTGGGTCTCTGTAATTAATGTTAAAGAGTTCGGTCTAGACCTGCTCTATTTGAAAAGTGTCCTGAGATAACTTCTGTTATGAATTGGCGCTATACAAATAAAATTGAATTGAATTGAATTGAATCAGCGATTGAGCGTCATCATCACTCCGCAGGATCAGGTCAGCATTGATCGGTGTGAAGTGTTAGTGCAGTGAGTTCAGCAGTCTGACCCGACACGTGACCCGTAGTTAGGACCCATTGCTTCAGGCTGAGCTTCGATTTTATTAAATTGTGGTGTCAGGTAGATATATAATGCCCACTGGGAAGCAGGATGTTGTGTACCCACCAAACGCAAATAATGTGAGTAAATATTCGCCCTTTAATCTGTCTTGCTTTGGCAGTAGGAGCCCAAATGTAATTGATAACCTCAAAAGCATACAATTCTGACAATTAGGAACCATGAATAAATAAAACCGTTGTGAACATAGACAGATGCACACAGACAGGGAGCAGGCAGACAGCAGAGATGCTGTGGTGCAGTTTACTCAAGTCAACTGAAGTACAAAGAAGAAGTATAGCAGAGATATTTCTACCTGTTTTGTCCGCAGTTGTTGTTACAACCACAGCGATCACTAATCTCAACTCGAGTAAACTGCTCCACGACCTCTGTGCTGTCTGTCTGCTCTGTGTGGAACTGAGCCCAGTCTTGCCTCGTCCAACATGGCATTGACGCTGACGTATCCCAGCAGCAGGCCGAAGGGGCCAATGTAGTGTCTATGTATATATGTCTATAGTTGTGGAGCTCAGTGTGGTCGCCTCTGGCCTGTTGCCATCTTGGCAGCCCTGACTCCGCCAGCTCCCGGCTAATCCAAAAATGGGCAAAGAGGAGAAGCTGAATGAAGCCTGCAACTCAAAACGGCCACGCCCTTAATTATGCATAACTTTAAGCCTTAATATAATTTAAAGGGGTGAGTTGTACAGTTGTCATGAACAGGGAAATTAGCTCTAGAGACATGTTTACATTTTAATATGGGCCTTATGGAGACTGACTCACTGCTGCTGCCTCTAGTGGGCATTAGAGGAACTGCAGTTGGCTTCATATGCCTGGTGCAGAGGTTGCACTGGTTTGGTTCTCGACTGCCATCACTAGTACAGTGTAGTCATTCTAAAGCTAATTTGACATCACACAAAAACCCGACAAATGCTTTCTGTAGAACGTGGGTGTGTGAGGATCGTGTGAATAAAGGTGAGGATGAAGATCAGCAGTATGACGCCAGAAATCACACATGCAGGACAAACATTGTTTACAACATTCTCACAAGCACCAATGTAACAACGTGGACTGAGACAGGAAGAAGTAAGCACATATCACACAGGCCATAAAGGGCGCACTGCTAGCATTAGCAAACCTAGCTGGCTAGTGATGTAACCTCGGATGGCTGAATCCAAAAGAAACAGACCGGCTCCTGCTGCATATTGCAATATATCACAATATGTTGAATCTTAACCCTTGTATTGTGATCGCCAATACACAGCCATAGACCCCACACACGTCTTTTAAAGGCCCACACTGTGATAAAAGGCTTCCAGAAACCTTCAGTGGTTCTCCAGAGTTCATATTTGAGGCTTCTTTTCCACCAAATTAGCTCCAGTTCTTGAACCGGTTCCGTTCAAGATTCTCATTCCCAACGAAAACCTGACATTTTTTGGTTCCAGCTGCAAATGTTCAGGTTCAGAAACAACTTAGTTTTTGACAGAATACTAAAGCTAGCTCAAAGCTAGGTGCTTGAACTGTAAGGAGCTGGTTCCCTGTTGGTGGAAAAGACCCATCAGTGGAAACACTGAAGGTTCCTCGAGGAAGCTTTCAGAACAAGTTAATCGACCCAGACTGCAGGTTCTCCAACTATAAGGAACATCCTGCTTTCACACTGTTCTACTGAAGATGTGCTGAACTTTAACAGTGTGGTTCCAGATGTTCTCATCAGTTGACATCTGTATTATGCCTTAAGTTGGACATAATATCAAGGACTCTCATTTAACAAACATGTGGATGTCCTTTTTTATTTTTGTCTGCTGATGATCGTAGAGAGGAAGTGAAGGGAGAGAGAAGAATCCGAATCAGAATCAGATACCCCCTTTCCACCTATGAGAACCTACTGCTAGTTCTGGGCTGGTGTTGGTTCAGAGTTGGTTCAACTTCAGAACTGGTTAGCTTCTTTTAGTTCATCTGGAAATTCCATAAATCACCTCGGTCCTCTGTCTCTGAGGTTGTGTTCACTGGGAGGCTGCTGAGCCCTGTTTGGTTGCACGCCAATGGCAGCGATATTAGCAGTTAGCTAATGGCAGCTACATTAGCAGTTAGCTAACGGCAGTTACATGTGCAGTTAACAGTTGAGGCAATATAAAATACAAAAAAATTGTTTTAGCATATATTGTTAAATACAGGAACAATATAACTGAGGATGTGATCTTAAGTGGTTAAAATTACATTTTTCAGTTCACCTGGACTTTAATGGGGGTCTTTGTGTCTCCACAGAGTGATAAATGAGAGTCAGCAGAAAGGTTTCACTGTTAGTGTTTTTTCCACCAAATTAGCTCTGGTTCTTGAACCGTTCTGTTCAAGATTTTGGGAACCTTCTTGCTCTCTAATGAACCAGCCATCAACAGGCCACTGCACAATGACCTTTAGAATATGACACACCCACTTTGGTTCCAGCTGGGAACCAACTTATCAGGTTCCAAACCAATACATTTTTGGTAATCTCCGAACGGTTCAAAACTAGGCGCGCGAACCGGAACCGAGCCGGTTCTCTGTTGGTGGAAAAGGCTGATGTGACATAAAGTGCTGCATCGCTGTTATTGTTCACGTTGTTGCTTTAAGTGTTGAAGCACTTTAAAGCAAAAGTTTCCACCACTGAGAGGTCTTACCATACAGCTGTTTATCTAGTAAGAAGTCATACAAAAAGGATACATTTACTCAGATCAACAGGAAATGTTTCCATGTAATGTACAGACTTAATGTAAAGGATCAAAGTGTTTGGGTTCACCTACCTGTTTTGATGAATCCACCTAAAAGGTTAGAAAATATGAAACAAGAAGTTAAAATCTGCTCTGATTTTAGTAAAAAAAAATTCATAAAAGACGTAAAAGACTAAAAGGCTTTCAGTGCAGACAGACACAATGAATAAGACAGAATGACAGTTGGCAGGACAGAAAAGGGAAACATTAGAAGAGCTTACCGACTTCTTGAAGCAACACAGCTGAAGAGAGGAAGCAGACGAGAGAGAAATCAGAGGTAAAAACTGAAGTAGCAAAACATACAAGCAAAAAGGTAAAGAAAGAGGTCAGCCCTGATAACAGCAGCACCCTCTCAGTCCAGCTTACTTTGATTTCTCAATGACCTTCAGGTTCCCATTTAACGTTCTCTGTTTCTACTGGATGGTTTAGTGTTGGATGTTACATTTAATACAAATTCAAAGCAAGACAGTGTGACATGAAAACAGACATGGGCATGTTAAATACGGGGAGGATACATGTCTTTACCTGTCCTAACCTGTTGAGATCTGTCCTAACCTGTCTCAAGATATCCTTATCATTTCTAACATGTCCTGATCTTACCCAATGTCTCCAAACCAGTACCGACCTGTTCTGTAGCCCAAGGAGTCTTAAGAAGTTCTACCCCACCAAAACCAGTTCAGTCCCTACATTCACTAAGTACTCCAAACCAGTTCCAACCTGTCCTGACCAGTCTTAATCTGTCGTTAACTGTCTGTAAACAGTCCTAATCAGTCCCACCTTCTCCTGACTGGTTACTTGTCTCAGTTAATCTTAACTGGGTCAAACCAGCCAATCCTAACTGATTCTGAAAACTGACCAATAGGAGGTCGTGAAGGAGGAAGCAGCACACCAACAGCAACAGGAGCAAACTGAACAGAAGCAAGAGATCGCCTCATGGTAGGTGAAGGAAAGGTCAAAGGTCATCAGAGAGGTCAAGGTGCCTCTTCACACCTGTCCATCTCCTCCTGTTCCAATACGGCTCCTTCAGCTCTATGTAGAAGCTGGCCTGCTTATCGTACTCCTCGTGGTCAATTATTCTAACGGCTATGGTCTTCCTGCGGACGAGAGGGTACAGACAACAACAGTGGGAGGGGAGGTCAGAGGTCAGGGGTCATGCATTAGTTCACCAACAAACAAACAAGAACATCGAGGCTGACAGGAGGAGGAAATGACCTCGCCTCGTCTGGCCTGCAGGGAGGAGGGATCGAACTCTCTGATGTTAAAGTCACAATGAAAGACATACGACTGTCTCACCTCATCAGCTGAGTCTTTACTTCATTGTAAAAACACCCTGAATAAAGGACAATTTCACCCAAATCACCAAAATAAAACACTGCTCCCACTTACACCTTGTGGTAATAGTCATGCAGATATTGGATTTAATTTCTGAGGTTCTGATAATAGAGCTGCAATGTAGGAGGAGAAAACATCTGTTCCAACTTATTCCTATATTACAGTTTAATGTATCTGTAAACATTAGTTAGGTAACTGACAGTTCTCTGGAAATATCTCAATCTGCATTCTTTCTCATGGCCAGCAGGGGGCCCTCCATTTGCTGCAGAAATACCTGCGTTTGTATTGATTGTAAGCCCAAATTCCACCGGGACGGGTCGCAGTGAGCCTCCTTCTCTCTCACATACTTTCATAATGAGTTTATAGTCTCAATCTCTAGTTTCAAGTCTTCTTCCATGCAGCATAATGTTCATTGAGGAGTCAGCTAATAGGACAGGCAGACAGACGGACAGCAGGGAGAAACGATGAAACAGTCCAACGGAACGGCAGACCGGAAAAATGGAGCATGCATGGCAATACGTTGCAGCTATTCAGCTTAAAGAGACGACTAGGGGGGATGCGGGAGGGCCAGTATAAGATCAATAAGGATGTTTTTCAATCATCTACTCTATAGCCTGAGAATATTGAGCTGGAAATGAGCAGAATAGGTCTCTTTTAAAAGAGTGCTGAATTAGCTGTCAGCAGCTCCTGTTAGCAATGTAGCTATGTAAGAAAACTTCAACACATGATGATTCTCTTTGGATTTATGGACATTTATTCTGGGTGATCAGAGATGATGATATCCTCAGGAAGTGTTGGTCACACTGACTCAGTAACGATGATGGTTTGTGACGGAGCAGTGTGAGCTCTCATTGTGACTTTAACTGTCAGTATTTACAGTAGATGGATCTGTGCTGCTTTTCCCTGCGAGGTCTCGAGGTGAGTTTGGATTAACGTAGGGTTAAAGGTCGTTAGTGATGCGGGCGGGGTTACAGCACAGGAAGGCGACACCCCCACCTTTCCTCTCACTCATCTCCAGCAGCCGAGGCTCGCCGATCTCTAGGAAGAAGTTCTTGTTTTTCTCATATTCTTCATCATCAATTATATTGATCTGAACAGTTTTGCTGAAACAGAAAACAGAGAGACAGAGAGGTTGCAGAAGGAGGAGTGTGCACAAGTCTGAGGAGGCGTGATGAAGGAAAAGGTGTTTGATGTCGGAGACAGTGGTAGAGAGTGCAGGGAAACAACATTCAGAGAAACATCTCCTGAAAAAAGAATGCATGTAATAATAATAAACTTTATATAAGCCAACAATTCTTCTGTCAGTGTCTGAAAATGTAAATACTGCAACACACCAACAGTCCAGACACACATAGGAAGCAGAAAAAAGTGAAACAGTTTAGAAATTAAAAAAGAAATGTGTCAGCTAAAAAGATTTTTACATAGATACAGCTGCTTGTATGAAAAGCTTCTCCTTCACTTTATGAAATCCCTGCAGCATCTGAAGGCAGCAGGACTGATACAGCCTCTGAGACGGCCTTAATGTTAAATTAAATCGCCTAAAAAACGGGATCACAAGTGGACAGCTCTGAATACAGTGTAAACAGCCATAGAAACGCATTGTGATCTGATCTCTCAAACCACTTGCCGAGGCCGTCTGGGACACGTTTGACCACATATCTTTTGTAGTATCAACAGTAATGCTGCGTCCTGGTCCACAATGAATACTGCCTATGTTTATTTGCATATATATAGTGGTTAGATGTTGATACAATGTCCTCTACTGCAAGGGGACACTGTCCTGCTCATTTAGTTGTGTTATAAAAGAATCATCTCTCTGCTCTGCTCCACATAGAGTCTCATCTTCCACAACCTCATGACGTTTTCTATAGAAGTCAATGTTTAGGAGAGGACGCAGGCCCAAACTCTTCTGGGATCCAGTGACACTCTCAGACATTCTGACACACAGACTGAGACCTGCAGTGGCACCTTGTTTACAGTTGGGGGTGATAATCACAGTGTAATTCGTTTCCACAGTTTGACACAGCTTGTTCTGGAGTTTTGGAGGCTTCACTGGGCTGCAGGCTACAGCAGCCCTCATTGGACAGATCCACAGTGTGTGTGTGTGTGTGTGTGTGTGTGTGTGTGTGTGCCAGCAGGGTGGAAAATCGCCTCCATCCATTCACATGTTTATTTAATGTCAGCAGATTGATGGTTTGGAGGTTTTTTTCTCTGTGATTTCAGGACACAAGATGTTCTCATATCACACTTTTAATATAATAATAATATATTTATTAGTTTTATTTAAAGAAAGATTCCTTCACTGATTTTGTGATACTGCAGTCAGTTACTCTACTGCTCTATCTTTTTGGCATTTGGGGCACTGCCCTAAAATAATTTATGTCGTATTAATCTAGCAGGACTTTCTCAGTGGTCATGAGTGATGCCTCCTCTTCAGTAATCTGTCCTTGGCCCTTTGTTGTTCTGTACATACTATGCTGCCACTGTGGCACATATATTCATCTTTTATCCTGTCTCTCAGAAATAAAGTGCTGGACGTCCCAAAACCTTCTCCAGCTATAACTAAAACAAATGGGACATTATTCTCTTTGGTCCCCCGAGGTCCATCCCAATCTATCTGTATATAATTAATATGAATAATAATCAATGCTGTTACTGTAGTAATGGCAAGCAGCATCATCTTGTAGTTTGGATCATCAAGGGACCCTTTTTCTGTCATTGAGTAAACTTGAAGGTGGCTGAATGAGTGAGTTTTTATGGAAATGTACTATTATATTAACCTGTACAACTACAACTGTACAATTAACCCAAACAGGGAAGTCAGTAACTTAAAGAAGTTTAAGATAGATTTGGATGAATTTTTAGCTGTTTATTTCCTGTTCCTGAACCTTTTTATACAATTCTCTGTCCGTATTATGTATTTTTTAAACCATTTAAGAATGAATGAATCCAGTGCTATTATTGGTCAAACTCTTCTCTTCATTTTGGACAGGCTAGTTGCTGCTGCCACGTTCTGTTAGAATTGCTTGTGTACAATTGAACTCACAGGCGTCACCAGCTTCTTGAGTAGTTTACAGACAAATCGTACAAAATGTACTTTGACGTCACAATGTGTTATCGGTTGGCAGGTCTGGTAATGGACCTGAATACTTCCTGCACCTGTGTGTTACTGGCTGAGCTCTCCCCTTTAAGAAAGATGGATTACGTTAGCCATAAAGTGTTGCAGTATGATACTGTAAGAGTGTGTGTTGTGTTTTCTGCCAGAGAAAAGAAACAAAAAGTATATTTATTTAAAGTTAAACCTGAACTCTTCACAGCACAGTGGAAGCTGCAGCTAACATAATGAGTCAGGCTAAATACAGTTAAAAAAGCATAAAACCGCAAATATGTTTCGGACCTGCAAAAATGTGGAAGCTACGAGTAGAGTCTGGTAGCGTGACGACTGAATAATGCTGAAATGCCTTTCAGTAATGACTATACTGCAACCTGTGCTCGGAGTATGAATATGATAAAACCTACAGGGTAACTCTGTGGCTTAATGTCGAACCCTGCAAGTACACCAAACTGTTTACCTGTTTATGCACAGGTGTGTATGTATGGTGCTATAATTGGCACAAAACTATTTGCAAATGTACGTGGAGAGTTGTGTAGCTGTATCTCAATCTGTGTAATCCGATCTGTATTCAGATTTGCAAATGTAATGAGATTTGTAAATATGTAGACAAATCTGTAAATGTGTATATAGATGTGAAAATATGTGGACGTGGCACACAAACAAACCTCACATGTAGAACGACCAATAGAGAGTCCCGCCTGAGTTGTAACCGATGAATTGACTGTACCTCCAGCTCTTGGAGCAGACACTGAGACTGCTCAGTCATTAATATGAATGTCTGCACTGACAGATTTGTCCACATATTGTCAGACCTATATACACATTTACAAATCTGATTACACACACACAGATTGTGAACACACATTTGTAGATTCCTGTACATGTTCACAAATCTTAGTACATATTTACAGATTATTTTACACATTTACAAATCGGATTACACACACACACAGATTGAGATGCAATTACACAACTCTCAAACACATTTGCAAATAGTTTAGCTACAAATAATAGCATGCATGTATGTATGTGTTAATTTTTCTTTGTAACCCAGCTTTTGTAAGGTGCTACATAAATACTTTTTACTTCCTTACTATAAAAAATAGTGATTAGTGGAGCTTTATGTACAGTGAGACAGTCTAAAGTCTGCATTTAGTCTGCATATGATCTCTGCAGTAAACAAGAGGCCGATCAGTTTTCTGTGAAGGGAAACACACAGAAGTTGAAATGAAAAGTGGCTGCCGGCCAGCAGCGACCTCCCCTGTGGTCGGCTCTGAGAGGAACCGGCTGCAGTCATCTGTCTGCTTTATGGGCTGAGCCCTCGACGATGAGCAGGATCCCGCTGCTGCTCAGCACAGGCTGCCCTAATAAGGCAGAGAGCTGCGTGATGTTTATCTGCCCAACGCACCAGGAGCCCGTCTGGACTAACAGCACGACAAAGACATCTGAGACACCGGGCTGGAAATCAGCTCACACTCACCAAAGAATGGTTTGAGAAAAGATGGACGAAAGAAACAACAACCACTTCAACTCCAAAAACTGGATAAAGTGAAGAAACATGCCAGAAAACATATTACCGATATGGTCTGTCTCTACTGTAAACTGGGACAAATCCCCTATTGCCACGGCGCAAAATGACAAATAACGTACTGTTCTCAAAAGCTTTATTCCTTAAAGGAACCAAACATTTGACATGTTTTCATGAAATTTACCAGTTCAACGTCAATTCAGTGGTTTCTTCCAGAAAGGAAAACCAGGAATCAATTTAATGGCATCCAAACAGATTTCCAGTTTGTACAAGAGCTAATTTTTAGTTTTTGTTTTCTACGCCAATACACCACTGATTTAGATATTACAACAGAAAACATTGACCTTGTTTTTGACTATGTGATGTTACATGTGTTGAAATATATTAACAAATTAACTAAATGTTCAGTCTCCTTGCTGGTTGTTGTGACACATTCAGCATCATTACCACTGTTTGTTAGCAGTTAACAGGCCGCTGTTATAGAGATTGTCATCATTACAGTAATGTCAGCAATGTACTTCGATTAGCCAATATAAATATCCCTCCTTGCCCTCTCTTTCTTATAATAAGGTCTTTCAAATACAAATGACCAGCCTGGACCGGACTGTACTAGCCTTTAAAGCTGTTTAGATGATGGTTTTAAACTGAAAATGTATTATAATTCTGACCTATTTTCCACATTTTGTCCACAAACAAAAGCAAAGAAAACGCACATTTGTTTCGAGTCCACTGAAGCCATTTTTTTTTGCTGTTTATCACCTCTTGTTCCATCTGTCAAATAAAGTCATAACACAGCGTACACCCTCTTGCGTTTGCTGAAAGCCATATTTACCACCAACGTGGTAATTGCCCAGAGCCACTGATATGCATGACAAACACACGCAGCTGACACCCTACCCGGCGCTGGTGAGTTCAGATTACACCACAAAAATCCCAAACCTTAAGAAATTCCCCAAAGGTTGTCCAAAGTCTAAGTGAACTGAAAAATTTCTGTTTAACCCTTTAAGATCACATCCCCAGTTATATTGTTCCCCTATTTAACAATTTACAAAAACTCAATTTTTTGTCAATGGACGGTGGATCCATGTTTCTGAGCTTTACACTCACCTCCCAAAAAAAGATTTTAACTAAGAGACCTCTAAATTGGAGTAACAAATAATAATAAAAAAGAGCATGTTGTGGTTTTACTGTGTTATGTGTCCGACTGTTTCTTGGCTGCAGTTTGAACTCATTTGGAGGAAAGACGCTGTTGCTTTTCATGAAGGTAAGTAGAAACACCTCTATCCGTCAGCTCCTGACCAATCAGATGTGACGGATGTTCGCTACTGTTGCAGGGTGAAGCTCCATAAACACTCAGCTGGAAGCAGCAGCTCTACTGTAACCTGATCGGACTGAAATACTCCGGTCCACATAAACAGCAGCAGTGTGAAGCTCCTGTCACACAGAGCAGCTACGTTTTCCCCCATCTTCTCCAGGACTTATATCAAACACATTAATGATCTACTGCAGTGCTTTCCAACCTTTTACCTTAAATGAACCACTTTCTGTCATTGAGCAAACTGACGACCAAGTGACATATTTATAGATGTTTCATATTATTTCATATTATACTTAGCTGTACAATAACTACAGGAAGTTTATGTAAAAAGAGCAATTCAATGACTTTTGAGCATTTTTTTGAGATCATTTCTTATGAGTATTGCATCAGAGATGAGTTTTTCTGGTATTTTCAGGAACTTTTTTTACAATCCTGTGTCTGTATTATGGTTTTTGACTTAATAGGCTTCCTTTTTGACAAATTCAGTATTTTCTTCTCCCTGTTATTCATTGTTCTAATGCAGGCAGAGGGTGTTTAGTAATAAGTTAAGGCTCTGTGAATATAGGTTGTGTTCAGGTTTTCCAAGTTTATATTTTAAATAATGATATGTACTTTAAAATTACTATTTGATTTAGTTTTACTCACAGAAATGAAGGAAATGCTAAGATATAGGCCAACCTTTTTTAAACCTTTAAATCAAGAAGGTCTCGGGCCCCCTGGGAAGCTTTGGTGACCTCTAATGAGGGTCCCGACCCCTAGGTTGATAATATAATGCAGCTTTTCTGAGACTTAAATCTGCAGCTATAGCCTGTAGATTAGTGTGCATTGTATAGTTAACTGTATATTATTGTGAGGACTGGACTGATTACCAGAGAGCATGTTAATACTCATTCATCTTAAGATTCTACAGACAATATTTGATTTGATAAATATTGTTTATGCCTCATTAGGTTCAGTATAGGTCGACAGATGAAGCAAACTGTTGTAAAGGAGCAGGGACTGGTGGTGGGTCCGGTTGTACTGTGTGGAAAATGGTTACAAGGCTCACAGGTCAGGTATTTTGCGTCCTGCCCCAGGGAGGTCAGGACCGGCTCTGGTCTTAGTACAGGAAAGGAGGTTCCAAAAGGCGTGGGAATAATCATATTATTAGGAATAAACCTGCCTCCTGTGTGAACTGTCTACTGCTGTATGTTAATGTCACAATCGTGGTACTAGAAGAGCCTGATATTGTCTGAGGTCTGTTCCAACAGATAATTTATCCTTTATGGAGATACTAATATTGACAAGTGAATGTAAGTGCATACTATTGTGCATCAGTCCTCTGTATCAAACTGTCCTGACTCAACCAGCTGATAACTTGATCGGGCTATATAAGGCTCTCCCAGCAGCTCATTCTGTGTAAATGTAGGCCAGTGTGCTCATTAATAAACGGAAACAAAGAATGAGCGGGGCACCTTTTCCATTTCAAGACACCCTCCTCTTCCTCCACAGCCATGTTTATGCTCTGGAAATAAACGTGTTGTCATTACATTCCCACTGCCCGCAGACATGGAAAGAGTCTCCTTGTAGCCACTATGTGAGGCATGTAAACCTGAAGCTAGCAATCATACTACTGTGTGGAGGCGGAGCTTTTGTAACACTAGGAATTTAATAAATCCCTGTTCAATATTTACTCTCACACGGCCAAATCGCTGCTGCTGGGTATTGATCCTCTTCTTTACTCAGCTAGCACAACTTTATCACATGTACGAAAACACAATTTTATGGCTTGTACAAAAACAAAACCTTATATCACAAAGCAAACAGCACTCTGCTTTTTTTTTTAATGTGGACTTTAAACCATCATTTTGTGTGTATGACTGTATTTAATTATTTTCAGTCCAACCCCAACTTGCATTAAATATTAAGAGTGTAAAAATCATTCAAACCGTATCAGAAAACCGATTCAAGACTCAGAGATGTGGCTACACAACCACAAACTAAATCCTGCACTAATATGGGATACAAAGCGATACAACCATCCCCCAAAAAAGGTGTGTCTCTACATTCCTATTTGGCCAACCTGCTGTTAGTTTGCTAGATTAAACAGTTAACCAATCATGTCTGCTTCAATCTGTCTACAACAATCACACACTGGAAGAAACTTCCTGTCTGATATCTTTTCACTGTATTAACGGACTGAAAACTGCCACTTTATCATAAAATACGAGACCAAGAGCAAAGGTTTCCTTTCAGGAGAAGTTTGCTATCATGCTCTCCTTAATCAAACCCCTACATCGTCAAATACTGCAGTTTGCTTACACTGTAGACCTCCTCGGCCCCATGCCCCAAAAATGTCCATTTTGTCCATCAAATTGTAATCAGTAAAGTCTGAAATCGTTCTCGTGAGATACTTTGATGTTAACATTAAGACTCTAATACCCCAAATTCCTTGCAGGGAAATCGGGGAACTGTGCAATACTCTCAGCCATTCAATACTCCACCAGCAATTTGTAAAAAGATTTTTACTTACAAGATCTCATCATTCTCAAACTCCAGGACTCCATGTGTGTCCTCAAAGTCCTCGCCACCTCCTTTAGCCGTCCCTTCCATGGTTTTGTAAGGGACCACCACAACACCGCGAGCCCCCGAGGTCCGGATCACCTTCACCTCCAGCACCCCGACGCTCTCACTCACGGTCACCACTGGCTCCTCGAACGTAAAGATCCCTGCGTGGTCGTCATCAAAGATGGTGACGATAGCCGAGCACGGCAGGCCTAAACCTGCGAGAGTGTCTACATGGTTTGCCTCGTACTCATCTGAGCCACTGCCCTCTGATATGACCTTCACATTGCTGAGGTGAATCAGGAAATGCTCGTCTTCCTCAAAAATATCATCATCAATAATATCAATCCGGATTTCCTTTTCGGTCTCGCCTGGTTTGAACATAATAGTTCCTTCGGTGAACTGGTAGTCAGAGCCGGCATTTGCTGTGCCATCTTCAGTCCTGTAATCCACTGAGACTGTGCTTGTTAGGTCTCCACCACGCCGCACAATGTTCAGCGCTACACTGCCGCAGTTCTCCAGACACTGGTAGGTACCAGGGTCAAAGAAAACCTTGGAGGAAAAATCATTTACCAAAACCTCGGAGCAAATATCATGCTGGGTGGCTCTCTTGGCTTGGTCAGCGGCATGCTTCTTTAGGATGTTACCTGCTCCTGTCATGATCCTGGTCGCCTGGCAGCGGTAGAAAGCCCGACTCTTCTGTTGCTGGGTTAAAACTTGGTAATTCGCAAGCTCCATCAACTGCTCCATCTCCTTCTCAGGATGTTTCTGTTTCAGATCCTTCAGGATCCTGGCCACCTCTCTGCGGGCCTCATCCTCGTCCAGCTCCTTAAAATCATACCCTGTCTCTTCTCCATGGGAATTGAGCATTTTCCCATCCATTTCAATGTCAACCTTCGAGGGAAGCTCTGGTTCTCCCTCTGTTTCGATGATCACTCCTTTCCGCTTCCCTGCTCTGTATCGTTTGTACATGTATTTGTAGAAAAGAAGTCTGCGGTCAGCCACGTAAGCCAATCCAACACAAATGGGGAAGAAGAAGAGTGTGAGCAGCCCCTCCCATATCTCAACGACACCTGGAGAAATGACGGCCAGGATCAGGTAAAGCCAGGTGTATGCAAAGACGCTCCAGGTGGCGGTAACGAAAAACACCCTGAGGTGCTTCACCTTTCTGGTCTCTCCTTCAGGAATAACAGATACACAAAGGCCAATGATGACAAACATGTTGAAGGCGGCACTTCCTACAATGGTGTTGGGGCCCAGTTCACCTGCGTTAAAGCCATGACCACAAACCTCCACAACTGACAGGAGGATTTCTGGGGCAGAGGAACCCAGTGCCATTAGGGTCAGATTGGACACTGTCTCGTTCCAGATGCGCACTGTCGTGGTGATCTTCTCACCGTTTGGTTTCTTGATGGTGATCTGTCTCTCCTGGGAGGTGATGACCTCGATGGACGCCATGAAGCGGTCAGCAATGATGGAGACACCCAAGAACATATACGCTAACCCCACAAAGTAAATGGTGGCTCTGGCAAGGCGGTCAGTGAAGACTGGGTTTTGTGGCGTCCATATTGGCAGGATTACACCTTCAATGCAGACGGTCACTCCTCCACATGTGGTGCGGTTGCTGAGTGTGTTGTTGGAATTCAGAGTTAGAGTAGAGCCTCCTGCTGCAGAATATGGAATATTAATTGAGATGATGGTCAACAAGAAAAGCAGCTGATAGGTGGAGAACAGTGACGAGGTCCCGGCTCGGCTCATGGTGACACTTGAGCTCCAGCAAACCTGCAAGACAGAGAAGATTGAGATGACAGAGTGATTTCTGTGTGATCATGTTTGAAACTGGGCTTGAATGGATGTCATATACCTTTTTTTCAACAAGTTCCTGGTGTTTCAGCAGCCAAAGAACTGGCTTTGAGCCAAAAAAACTGGTTCCAGGTTGGCACCAAAACTACAACAGGGGATGGAGACTCCTTGTAGCCAACCAGCTATGTATTTAGTAGCTGTTATTAGCACATAAATGTTAAGAACATAACATTGAGCGAGATTACCCAGCAAGTATAGCTACTAATTTCCAGTGTTGGGCAGTAAGTCATTACTAGTAATAATATTATATTATTATAATATTGTAATTATATTATTACTAAAAAATTATATTTTTTAAAAATGATAAATATTACAGTTACTCACTTGGTGGAGCCCTTTTTATCAGTGAGCAAACTGACTGTATTTTCTCTATGATTCATATTATATTGAACAATAACTAGAGACCAACTGATAAACTGTACAATGAACCAGAGTTTTGGATTAATTTTGAGCAGATTTGATTAAAATTCAATTCCTTTGTATTTTTACATAACACAGACAGAGGTAAGAACTTACAAAAATCTGAAGTCCTCCTACCCCACTTCTGGGCTTCTCCACTTTCCTACTTCTCTCAGATCGCAGAGTAAAGACCGTCTGCCAGCGACTGAATCAATGTTACCTATGAAGTGGTTTTAAAAACAAGATGACCTTAATACTTGTTCCTATAATACATAGCATTGTTTCTCAAAAGCAGTACTTAAAGTTCTGATAAATTCTTGTACTGTTTAGTCCTAGACAGATTATTTTGATAATCACACATTAAATAAATCTCTCGTTCGGACTGAATCAGACCACAAAGTGTGTAAAATCAGGATGGACTCTTTGGATGGGAACTGATTTATGAATCATTGCCTAACTGAAAGATAATCAATACGGTTAAGTGATCATACAAATAACCACTACTCGAACACAGTAAGTTATATTTAATGTCCGTGCTACTAGATAATAGTTATTTTAGGACTAAATCTATTATCTTTTATAATTTACATTAATTAACACAGATTTAAATTATTATTACATGTAGCACTTTTTTCTTTAAAATCAGACTTTTAATTTTAATTTATAAAAAATACATTTTTAACTTTTTAAGTTATAATTTAAAACAACTTTAACACAGTACAGTAAAGATACATTTATGTACCAGTAATACTTAATAGTATAATAATAATAGTATTATTAAACCATACGATATACTTCCATCAACATATATGCTAATACTATCCATTCAGCAAAGCGTCAGGAGAAGATCAGAAACCTACCGTGACAGTTTGAGTATCTAAAGAAAAAACTAAAAGGACGTCTTTATCCGAATCTCCACAAAAACAAGACAAGAGTTTTCATCCTGTAGGTGAGAGACCCAAGAACCCTGTGATTAAACCGTCCTCTCCTCCTCCAGTAACACAATAAAAACCCTGTCAGGTGATGTGCAGACGAGAAACAGAAACAGCACAGTCTGATAATAACACTGTCACCACTGAACCACCACACTTCGGTCTGTTGCTCTGCCTTCTTCATCTCCTCCTCCTCCTCCTCCTCTCTGTCCTCTCTGAATCCTCTTTGGTTAATTTTCTTTCATTTCAAACTACAGAATAACTTGTTGGGCTTCAGCCTTACAGGTTAATGTCCAGAAGAAAACATAATATGGTAGTCAGTATTTCAACAATGTGTAAGGCATGGTGAGATTGCCTTTAATGTACCTGTGAGTGTGTAGGCTATAAAACAGCCTGGAGATACTGTAAAACTCCCTCTAAAGTTAGTTGCAGGTTCCCTTTACTGGCCTGGTGTCTCCATTAGAGTCCTGGTCTGGATTGTACAGAAGTTGTTGATGTATAAAACCTCTTAAAGCTTGAACAAGCTCTAAGCTGTTTAGGTATCCTACATTTTTAAACTTTTGTCAATATGTATATCTTAATGATTCAAACCTTCACTTTATTTTACACAAACCAAAGTATCAATGATTCATAATTGATATGTCATTCTAATCTTTATACAACTAATATTCATACTGGTTTAAATAAACAATTTGATAGTATTTAGAAAGAGTTTTGGAATTAAAGGCCTGTCCAGTTAAGTAATTGAAGCAAATTAAAGCCTGGGCTGTTTTACACTATGTCCTTTTTGGAGAATCCTGACGGGAGTCCAGTTTACAAACCGGTATAATACCTGTTGCCACAATAACCTGATAGTTTCTACATGGACAACATTCTGTAAACTAGGGCTGCCTCCCAATAGTCGAGTTAATCATTAGTCGATGAGAAGAGTCTCAGTGACACTTTCCATCAGTCTGACAGTCTCAGAGAAACATAACCAACGTTAAACTGCATTGAAGAGCTGCTCCTCGTCACCGGGACCAAAGTATCAGAGGATTGTTGCAACACGGACCTTTTCTCTTGTAACACTGCTGCATATGCTAACTGTACTAGCTGCTGTTAGCTAGTTAGCGATCCCATTAGCTGTCTGTACCCGGACTGAGAGCTGGAAGGACGGAGGGAGTTTAAACATGGAGGCCAGCTGATGTCCTCCGGCTCCGAGCAGGAAAATCCCTATTTTAGTCTACATCGTCAAACTTCACTGAATGCCAACATCTATGGACTTTACTATTGTAACTTATACTTCTCTGACAACTTCCTACTGATCAACAGAAAAACTCTAGTGCTTTTATTATTCTAGTACAGTAATCATTTACACAATTAGAGATTGATACTGGTGTCCATGTAACGATTCAATATTGCCACGCAGAATATCGCGATACGGTGCTGTATGGAGGTTCCCCCACCCCTAACTACTACTGCTGTACTGCAACACGACTCCTTCACTGCCCAACTCCTACAACATTATTACTTCACTTTTCTCCAGTGATACAAAAACATTATGACAACAATATTTCAACCATAAGACAAAAGGAATCAATAGGTAAAATGTTAATTTTTGAGTTTGAAATGTTCCTTTAATTATCATTAGACACTATTTACAATACAGAAATGTGCAGTAGACTCCCTTCACAACTCTTGCTATTTTACAAATATAATATCCAACAACAAATATCCAAAGCTGAGGTGATTTTAAGTTTTTCCTGAAATCATCCTGTCCTTAAGTATATGGAGCACACAGTGTTACTGTTAAAAAAAGCTGCTACTTGTCATCATAGACTGCATTATAGTCTGCCGATTGTAGCTAAAATGGCAGCTTGGGGGCCCCCTGGTGGCCTCAGGGGCCCAATGCAACTGTATGGTCAGCATATGGCAAGAAACAGGCTTGATTACTACATTACTGCAACCACTATTCTACAACATGCCTCCATAACTGCAAAACCTCTAGAATATTACAAATACTGTGCACCAATACAAAAATAATGAATAATAATAATTTACAATAAAATACCTGTTAAATGTTATCAGAACATTATTACAACATATAATGTTGTAATAATTAACACAACATAACTTCACATGAATACAAAACCATTATGACCATTATCACTGCAATATTATGACATTTGGATAACTGTTAACGTTATTACAACATTATTACAACATTACAAAAGCCACCATAACATCACTGAAACATCATTTAAGCCTCCACAGCATTACCACAGGAGTACATTGCTTCCTCCCATCACAGCAGCACCAGCTGCACCACAGCTGGATAAAAATCTGCTCCTGATGCATAAACTTAAGTAAAATCTTCTTTTTGTCCCTTCTCAGAGCCGGTACTCACCTCTGGTCCTGACGCGGCAGCAGCAGAAGATGAGAGTGCGCTCAGGAGGGAGAGCTGCATCCGATAACCGCTCTAAATTTAACAGAAACAGACATTGTTCTAAACATGGTAGCTGCCTGCGAGCTGCTTATCGGCCCTCTCCCAGCGGGCCATGGCCATACAAGGCTCTGCGGGGCCCGGGGGCCATCCAGCAGCTCCTCATCCCCGCCAACACGTGGGGGAGATAACGGCTAACAGCTAACGGCAGCCTGGTGACGCCGACGGGCCACAACAGGCAGGAATGCTGGGATAAGTGCCCCCCCCCCACACATACATGACATCTGTACAACCTTCACAGCAGGGATTTTCCACTCGGTCCACATGGAGAAGGTGACATCCAGAGACCTGCAGGTCCTGAGGAGGCTGTTTCAATATAATCTGTAATGGGTAACATTTCCTCATTAAACAGTGTATACGCTCTGGCTCTATGTTCTATATAGTTGAGTTCTTCCATTATCCCAAATGTTTCCAACAATGTTCAAATTCAGAGAAATCCGTCATTTGATGTTGTTTGGCTGCTTTTATGTTTGTTTTTTTTTTATGTAAAGTGTCTTTGAGTATTTAGAAAAGCGCTTATAAATAAAATGTATTATTGTATTCAGGTAACGCTGCGTTTCACCGGTCGCCTGTCGATGGCGTCATATCCCCTTTGTGCCTGCGTCAGTGTTGTGGTTATCTGTCAGAAGCAGTCACACTGACTGTTTACCATCCACTGTTTAGATCTTGGTGCTTTTTAACTCTAGATTTGAACCGGATGAAGGATTTTAGTCATCGGACGTCTGGATCTTAAGTTATCAGAGAAACAAGCTGAGCTAACGTTAGCAGCAGCTCGGCTCGCAGCCCCTCCGGGACGTCCTTTGTCTGTCCAACAGCAGAGAATAATAGTAAATATGATTATAATGATAATAATAACAATATGAAAGACAGTTTCCTTCTGATCAATCAATGGGTTTAAGAACCAATAAAACAGACTGATGAGCCAATGAGGAGCTCACACAGGGAGGCTGTTCCTGTTTGTGTTTCTATCATTAATGTATTTAAGCTGCTCGGTTCCACGTTGAAGAAATGAATTAGCTCTAATATTTGTGTTATCAATACGAATGGGGAAACACTGTGGTAGTAATTAAACTTCTTCCTGTTTACATCCAACTTTAGTACGGTAGCTTTCTAGGACACACATATCCGTTACACTAAACAAAAAAGCAACCAAGCAGAGGATTTGATTGGTGATTAAGAAGAATTCAGATAAATAAAATCAACATGTTGGTTCAACAAGAACAAATTATTTCAAAATTCACGATTCTTCTGAATTGTTGGCTTTTGTGCCCACTTTACATGCCCATCAGCTGTTGTTTTTATTTAAAAGTTATTCTTAGAATTTATTTAATAAATCATTTATTAAATGGATTTCTTTCAAGATTAAGCAATTCTGTTCAATTAGGCCAACTTAATTTACTTACTACTGTCATTTTCACCGACCCTATTAAATTACTTACGCCATTAATAACGAACACATCATGTTTAATTAGGAAAGTAGTTTAAAAACAGGCACACAAAGGGCAACCATTTACAGCACATTGCTGTTAGAAACTGAATGCAATTAGCAGATATTGATCCTGATCAGCCAGCATTAGTAATCAATACTCCCATTAATAAAGCATTAATCAACCTGATCAGCCTTCAGCAGTTAGCTAGTGTCTCTGTAGTGGAGACTAAACGTTAACAATGATCCATATCAGCAGTTTGAATCCAACTAAAAGCTCCCTGCACCAAACTCCCTTTAAGAAATATCACATTTTAACAATTCCTAACGTGTTCGTAACAACACGTAACTCTAGAAACACGAGCTAAAGGCCGTCATATGTCCACAGTCTGACTGTCAATACAGGATCAATATCATCCATAAAGATACAGTGTATACTGATCAATATCATCCATAAAGATACAGTGTATTCTGATCAATAATCAATAAAGATACAGTGTATACTGATCAATATCATCTATAAAGATACAGTGTATACTGATCAATATCATCCATAAAGATACAGTGTATACTGATCAATATCATCTATAAAGATACTGTGAATACTGATCAATAATCAATAAAGATACAGTGTATTCTGTACAAACTTTACTTTTTTTATAAATGAAACTCCAGTTTTTCCCTGCACATTATCTTCAGGCTGTTTCCTGTCTCAGCATTATTTTTTAGCCTGCAGCACAGCTTCGGGGACGGTCCAGATCAAGTCTCAACTGTTGGTGACAAAGAGATGAATTTGGTGCATAGATTCATGTTCCCCTCAGGAGGAATCCTACACTTCTAGTTTTGAGTGTTTAACTTTCTTTTGGGCCTTTTTATTGCCTTTTATTTTGATAGGGACAGCTGAAGATAGACAGGACAGGGGGGTACAGAGAGAGGGGATGTCACGCAGGAAAGGGCCGCAGGTTGGATTCGAACCCTGGGCTGCTGCAGCAAGGACTCAGCCTCAGTACATGGGTCGCCAGCTCTACCAACTGAGCTAACCGGGCACCGAGATGTTCAACGTTTGTCTAACACTTTGCCTTATGACTCGTACACCTACAGAGTCAACAGTCATACTGGTGGACTGGTTTCCCAGTAGCTTC